AAGAGTTTTTAAGAGTTTTAGCCAAATGCATTATAATATAGTATAGATTATCCTGTATTTGATTGTGTTTATCTGCAGTTAGTTACACGAATTCAATTATGGGATGAAATCGGATAGGGATGAAATTGTTTAGGGATGAACGGGTTTAAGAGTTTTAAGAGTTTAAGAGTTTTTAAGAGTTTTAGCCAAATGCATTATAATATAGTATAGATAGTTCATACATAAAAAATAGTTTTTAAAAGTTATTGTCAAATGTTTTATAATATAGGGGGTGTTTGAGATTGTTTATAAAAACAACTTATTGACATATTTCGATATGGTACCGGTAATAAACATTTATGAGTGTTTGGATAAACAACTTATACCGACGACAAACCAATAATAAAAAGTTTTTGAAAAATTTAAATCATTTTAATTTATAATAAATTAATAAATACTTTTATTAAAAAAATATAAGTTGTTTTAAATAAACAATATCAATCTCCCCATAACATAGATTATAATTATAATTATATTTTATTTATAATTAATTTTATCCACCACTAGTGTGCATGTGGTTGACTTTTATTAAACCCTAACTGCATCTTTTACTTAATTATATTAAACCAGTAGATGATCGGAAAACTTACGACGCCGGAGTGGTTGTCGCCGTAGTACAAAACATCACCCATCAACATATCCGGCCCAATCCCTTCTTCGTCGTGGATCTTCTCCATGCCTTTATAGAAGCTAAAATGAGGTACTTTTTCGATCTTCTCTCGCCGGAAAAGCTCACGTGTCTCATCGGATTCATCTCCCAACACCAGCAAGAAGACGACGTCGTTGCATGTCCGGCTAAGGTTCACCATGAATGGATACATATTGCTGCTCTGTTTACTGTGACGGGCGGCGAATTCAACCACCACCAGCTTCTGTTTCGCTTCACGTAACGCCTCCTCGAACTCCGCCACTGTGTGGATGTGCTTTACTTTGTCGTCGTCGTCGTCGGCGGCGTCTTGTTTTTTGGCAGATGCACCACCGTCGTTGCTGTCTTTCTCGACGCTGGAGGTCGCAGCGCCGGCGGTGGCTCTTGTGATGGAGAGTGGTCGGAGGGTCTTGGGTTTGGTGAGGAAGAAAGAGAGGAGTTTATTAGGGTTGTAAGGAGAAGAGAAAGTATGGAGTTTGGTTGTGGAGGAAAGGTTTTGAAGGGGTTTAACGATGAGGTTTGTGAAGGCAGCCATTGATGGCGGTGGCCGGACGGTGGTGGTGGTGGTGGTGGTGGTGGGAGTGGGAGGAGAAGATATGGGGTTGAAAAAGAGGTGGAAGGAGGTGTTAAAATCAAGTGAGGAAAGAAGGGAACCACTCGTTTGGTTTGAAGCTCATCCACCAATATCCACCATTCACTTTGATTTTTATTTTATTTTTTATAAAATTTAATTGACTAAAAAATAATTAAGTGGTCAGAATGATTAAGAGATATAGTGTGAAATAAAATATAATTATTTGTTAATCATTTATAATGAAATTAGGGCGTTGAATGGTTAAGGGAAGCCCAAAATGCAAAACCGTTCAAAAGGTTTTAAAATCATTAATAAACAGACTATTTTTTTTTGTCAAACAAGATTCACATCTTAACGATTCAGATGTTACCTATTAATGAAACTATTAAGAGGTAAATAAACAACTCATTAGACGAAAAGTAGTTAACTGTCAACTGCAATCGATCCCATACAAAACCAGCTTTTAATAGGGATGTACCTAGATTTTTTTTTTCAAACGATGGTACCATTTGACTATGTAAAACAAATATAAGAATATTTGTCACAAAATTAGAATTGGTAATTTGATGAATTAATTGCAGCTAAAGGTCTTATGTTCAAGTCTTTTATTGCATTTTTTTTTCCAGAAATATAATAAATCTCAAAATTAAAAGTTAAAAAGCAAAGAAAATGACACTAACAAGATTCAAATTTGGGTTTGGGATGCAAGAAAAACTTTGCAAACTAACTCTACCAAATATATACGGTAGCACACAACAAATTGATACGGTGATAACTTTTCACGACCCTATGTTTTTGAAATTACGATGGAGAAACGAACCAATAGCATGTGCCACCGCAAAACCCTAGGTTCGTCATTGGTCTTCAAGGACACCAATGTGAGAGAATTTTTTAGCCTACTCTGTGGTTGAGGCTAACAGAAAAATCTTAATCCAACTCAACCCAAACCAACTTAAATTGTACGGGTTGGTCGGGTTGATACTTTCATACATTACAATATTCTTCTAACTTTGAATATGTTATTTATCTACTCATAGTTTATTTTTCATCATCAACCATTTGATACAACTTATTCATACTTCTTAAATCTTATGTATATCACATTCAATTAATTTCTCAATTTACATATACATGTTCACAGTTACTGAACATATATGCGAATGAGTTATATGGAGATGGAGAATAGATTGAAAATATGTGTATATGAAGAGGGTACGTGATAGTATAATTGTCTAATGTATATATTAATAGAAACTCCATAATCATATTAAATCCAATAAATACAAGGATATCAGGTTCATCGGGTTGGGTTGAGTTCAAATAATAGTAAACCAATTTCAACCTAAGACCTATGGTTTGAAAAAATTTACAACTTGATTAGACATTGGGTTGAGTTATTTCATGTTGGGTTTAATTGAGTTGATCGGGTTGATCGGTTTTTTGAGCACCCCTAGGCAAAAGGCTAAATATTACAAAACCTAATGGATTTTTATTGTGATAATTGAAATCAAAACTGTTAGTGCAAATCTGTCACATCTTTATAATTGTTTTGATGATTACAACTTTGAGATTAAAAATGATAAATGGACAAAAAATGTATTCTTATAGTTCTCATCTTAACTCTCATTTTCAGTACATGATCCTTCGCTAACACACACACACACACACATATATATATATATAGGGAAGGGTTCAAACGAGAACCCCTGTGATTTACAAGAACGCGAGAACAACCCAATAACCACATATTGTGATAAAAAATAAAATTAAAAGATTTTTAAAATTAAAATTAAAATTAAAATTGAAAAAGATTCAAAAAAATTTAAAATTAAAAGGGTAATAATGGAAATGATATAATTAAATCTTTTAAACACGATCATTATCTTTTAAACACGATCATTATTATCATTAGCCTTATCATTATCTAGTAAACGGTTATAAATTCAAGGAGACTCATAACTTCAAATCGCAAAAACAACCGACGGAAGCAAACATTGATCGACGGTGATCAACCAAGAACACGCAATCCTAATCGACCAAGAACCCTAATCGAGAAGTCATTGCATGCAACAAGCGTACAAATTCAAGGTATATTTCAAAATTACTCGTTTTGAATAAGTTTTTAATCGATTAGTTGTGATACTCATGTGATATCAATGTCACTCGATTTCATCATGGTTTCAATTGGTTATGTTAGACACTATCACAATGATTTCGAATGGTTTCGATAGGTTAGGATTATACTAGGTGTGATAATCATGTGATATGGGTGTGATAATCATGTGATAGGGGAGTGATAATCACCATTATACATCACTTGGGTTATCGTTTTGGTTGATAAGTTAAAATTTTGGTGTAATCATGTGATAGGGGTGTGATAATCATCATTATACATCACTTGGGTTAACGTTTTGGTTGATAARTTAAAATTTTGGTGTCATCATGTGATTTGAGTGTGATAATCATGTGATAGGGGTGTGATAATCACTGTTATACATCACTTGAGTTATCGTTTTGGTTGATAAGTTAAATATTTGGTGTAATCATGTAATATGAGTGTGATAATCATGTGATATGAGTGTGATACTTATGTATAAGGGTGTGATATGAAGAAAAGATATTAAGCCATCGACTATCTGGAGATTATCATGAACTAGAAGGACAAGAAGCATGAACAAAGGAGAAGAAGAAAACTACCAAGAGTAAAACGTGGAACGTGAAAAGATAATTATGGTTAATTAAAATAAAAATTATAAAAATTACTTAATTACATTATTGTCCTTATTAAATTATTTATATATAATAAAAATTAATTTATTAATTAAAAAAATTTGAGGTTATTGGGTTGTTCTCGCGTTCTCATAAATCACAAGGATTCTCGTTTGAACCTCCACCTATATATATATATATATATATATATATATAATAGGGTTTGATTCCGGTGAGGGATATCCACCATTGGATGCACATTATGATGAGATGCACCAGATCAATCCCCGTATCAAGTGTGATTCATGGGTGAGTTTGAGATTAAAGGTGATCAGGGTCCAGATTCTTTTTATACGTCTCACCTAAACTCTACTTCTCATACGATCTTTTGTCAATATGTATGTACATACATATATATATATATATATAAGTTATGAAAGGATATGTTGTCATCTCGAGAAACCGTGTCAACTTCAACTTAATGATCAAATATGAGAAGACACAACTGAACAAGAATATTCAAATGGCATCTGGAAATACGATTGTTTCATGCTAGATATTTCAACTCCGATCGGTTTTACCTATCATTTCTATAACACTTATTTTCATAAAATTTGAGCGTTATTTTTTTTATAAAATGATTTTCACAAAATCATATTTATATCATTATAAAATGATAAATTTTATAAATATATATTTTACAAAATTATTTTTGTAATCCTAACTAGATTAAGGGGCCGTTTACCAAACACTTATCCGGTAAGTGCTTGTCGGTAAAATTTAACACTATTATTTACTTACAGGGTAAGATTTTAGTCAATCAAAACGACATTGTATATAACAATTCACCCTGTAAGCGCTTACCGTGGTAAGAGTCGTCGTCTTCACTTACCGGGTAAGACTCCTGGTCTTTGTCTCGCTCTTACCGGGTAAGATTCTTAGTCCTCATTATATTTATCCAGTGAGGTAATGTGACTTAGTAAACGCTTACCCAGATAAGTGTTTGATAAATGGCTCCTAAGAATAAACCACGTAACTTGATTGAGTTTTAGTTGTTGTTTTAAAGCATTTACAAAATGACAAAAACTTCTAATACTTTTAGTATACAACTATTTCTACACTTTGTTTTATTATTTACAAACCCAAGAATTTATTAATTTATTTTATAATTTTTTTTTGCATAAACTCTTTGTTGATTTCCATTACAGTGTAAGGGTGTTAGTTTATCTTTTAATAGTTTTATTAAGAAGCAGACTCTGAATCATTAAGAGGTGAATTTTGTTTGACAGAAAAAAAAATATGTCTCTTAATGATTTTAAAACCCTCTGAATGAATTTGTATCATGAGTCTCCTTTAACCATTCAGCACCATAATTCTGTTGTAAACAAATACTGAACAATTATATTTCATTTTACACTATATCATGAGAGTCACTTAATCATTCTAACCACTTAATCATTCCGCATCAAACCATTCAACAATTGTCAAACAACCTCTTACTCTAAACACATATGAACATATAAAAATTTAGTTCGACAATACTGTTTAATTAGAGATAGAAAATGCCTAAACTTTGGAATTGGACAGAACATGGAACGGAGACTAGAGATGCCAAATCGGCCTGGCCCGGCCCGGGACCGCCGGAGGACCGGTTATGGGACCGAAACCGGCACCGGTTGAGGTTTTTGGTAGTGTCGTGGGACCGGGACCGGTTATGGGACCGACTATGAACCAGCCCTGCCCGGCCCGGCCCGAAAATTCAAGTAATTTTATAAATAAATGTATTTTTAAATAATTTTATAATGTATTTTTATAAGAAAACGTAATTTTTATTATATTAAAACGCATTTTTAAAGTGTATTTGAGTGACCCAATTGTAAATTTTATAATGTATTAAAAATATATATCATTAAAAAAATAAAAATAAGAATCTTATTTTTTAATGCAAGGACTGGTTAGGACTGATTGGGACCGGGACCGGGACCGGCGGCCCATAACCGGTTATGAAGTACCTTGACCGGTCCTATCATTTTCGACCGGGACCGGTTACGCCGGGACCGATTATGGCCGGTTATGAAAAAGTTAGGACCGATTGGGACCGAGACCGGTTTTTGGCCATCTCTAACGGAGACCGACCTAGAAAGATCGGGCTTTCAAAGACCGATTATGGGCCTAGTCTAAGCCTTCTAACCAATTTAATTACTTATACAGGTCCTTGTATATTTTGAAACATACAATATTTATATATGTTAAACGAAACTCACACACACTTCACAACTTTGGTGACAGTAGAACCCCTTGACCTCTAACCAAAGGTTGATTAAGAACGAAACTGAACCTAGAAAGAATTGGCCCATCGGTTCTAAGTCCTCATTGTTAGACCAATAAGCTCGC